GCCTGAATAAAGACCTTGCACTGGGTGCCACTCCTCTACTCCTGGGGACGGATGGGGACCCGGAGAGCTAATGTGGGCGGGCAGCTGTGTGCCGTCCCTGGTGTGCCAGGCCTCTGGTCACCTGCACCCCGGCCAGCAGTGCAGCCCCTGGCTGGGCAGACCCAGCCGGGGAGAAGCTGAAGGGTGGAGGGTCCCCMGCGCGGTGGCCAGAGAGGGCAGTGGCCAGCGAGGGAGGTGGCCAGAGAGGCCATGGCATGGGCAGAACGAACTTTATCAGAAGGTGGGTGTGTAGGTGGACGGCTGGTCGGTGGCSGGGCAGTAGGGATCCAGGTCCCAGAGGCGGTAGTTCTGGGTGGTGTAGCGCGGGCGCTGGGGCACCGACAGGTAGGGCACGTAGTCGGCCGCGTGGGAGTGCGGCTCCGCCTTATATCGGCTCCTGTTGACCACTGCAGGCAGGGACCCGGGTCAGCGTGTGTCCCCAGCACCCCGCCTCCGCTGCCAGGGTCCCGGCCGCCAGCTCACCGTAGTCCTTGACCCGGAGGGGCCGGTCCCTCCACAGCGCGTTGCCCCAGCGCGTGCTGGAGCCACGGTACTGCGCGGGGATGGTGGGGTCGTGCCAGGCCGTCTCCCGCAGGCGCTGGGTGTAGGCTGCAGGGACAGGGGGTCACTCGCGCCYGCGCACGGGCACCCTGCCGTCCGGGGCTGGGCCAGGGCACTCACCTGGGGGCAGGCCCCGCTCCCGGTGGTTGTGGCATCGGTGCCACCGGGAGTAGGCCTCGCGGTGCGGGCTGTCGGGGTCCCGGGGCAGGGTGTACCAGGCCTCCCGGGGCTCCGAGTTGGTCAGGCCCGGGTACCACGCCTGGCCCGCGGCGTCGTGTCCCATGGGCGAGTACTTCCAGCGCGTGGCCTGCTTGATCGCCGGTGTCCAGTGGGGCCCCTCCAGGGACTCATAGTCATCGCTGAGGACGGGGGCACAGCCTCAGCCTTCCTGGGGCAGGCCCCTGGCTGGCCTCCTGCTGCCCCACGCCACGGCCGCAGGAGACCCTCCCCGACCTTTCACCTGGGAGTGTCCAGCTGGAGCCCCTCCCAGGGAACTGCCCCCCTTCTCTAGCTGCTAGGACCCTTGGGTCTCCCCCTCCAGGAAGCCCTGGCCTGGAGGTGCTCAGGCTGGGTGAAGGAGGGTGGGGGCTGGGGGCATGGCCCAGGGAGGACACGGTGGACCCAGGCTGGGTAGGTGATGCAGAGGCCGCTGCACCTGTCCTGGGCTTCCTGAGAGGCTGCATGCAGCACATGCAAAGGCCCTGGGGCAGTAGGCAGTGGGTAAAGGCACAGATCAAGAGACAGAATCTGCAGTACCAACAGGAAGTGGAGATGTGCTACCAATGTCCCAAACCACACTTCACTAAGGTCATTCAGACTAAAACTAGGGGCCAGGCAGCAGTCCAGTGGTTAGTGCTGCCCAGCAAGAGGCCTTGGTTCATCTAGGCACTGAAGGAAAAGGGTGTGATGACAGACCCTAGCCGTCCCCGTCCCTGGCAGGTTTGGGGGGGGGGGACACACACCACACACACACACACACACACACACACACACGCATTGTCCTGCCCTCCTTCTGAACTCCTTTCTCCCCTTGGGAGGGCCCCAGCTCCCTCCTGCGCTTCCTTTTGCACAGCTGCGTGCTGTTCCCTCCGCCCATCACGGGGCCTCTCCGCAGAAGCTGCTCTGGGTGGGGGGCGCCCCTCACGTCCCCTGGAGCCTCAGCAGCAGCCTTGTCTGTAAAGAGGCTCTGCCCAGTGTGACCCCGTGAGATGAGTGCGCTGCCCGCTGGGCCTACTCGGGTGCCCTGTCCTTTTAAAGAAGAATTTGGACACAGGCAGGGAGACGGCACGCGGTGGCCAGGGCCACCCGGAGCTGCGGGGAGCGGGTGTCTGCCCCAGGCCTCCCGAGGGGCCCCCGCCCCCGGACCAGACCTGGGGTGGCYGCAGCCGAGGCTCTTCTGTTGTTTGGGCCCCGGGTTTGCTTCTGGCAGTGACCCCAGGTGAGGCTGCCCGCGCCCCGGCCCCACAGCGAGAGGGGTGTCACCAGCATAGCAAATGACACTGAGCTGGGGACAGAAGCAAAAGGCCAGGCAGCGTCTGAGGCCRGGACAGTGCTCACCTGTCCAGGGAAGCTGGGAAGTCGGTTTCAAGGGTGCCCAGGGGGACACAGGGCCGGGTAGCCTCCCGCCTCAGGGTCTGCATGTCTGCCTCTGTGTCCCCGCAGACTCCTGCCAGGAAGACCCCTGGGGCCATTGTTGACAGCAACAAAGGCCACCTGGCAACGGGTGGGGCTGGCCCCGGTCCCGCCCTGGCCTTCCTCCCTCCCCCCCGCTGTGGGGAGCCCTTCAGTGCCCCCCAGCTGGTGTGTCCTAGCCTGGGGGGGGGGGCAGGCAGTCCACGGCCCAGGCCCTGTCCTCCTACAGCTGTGGCACATCCACGGCCCCTGCCCGTCCCGGGGCTCTCCTGAGCCCAGGGCCTTTGCTCAGACTTCCTGCCGCAGCCTGGCCCCCTTCACAGCCAGGTGTGCCCCCAGCTCCTCACGCAGTGCCCTTGGCCAGAGCCTCTGTCCCCGTCTGTGGGACAATGCAGAGGCCTCCTAGTGACCCTGATCAACCTGAACTCGCCCACTGGATGCAGCTTGAGAGGCTCTGGATTCTGATCAGGTGGCCAGGCCCCTGGCCAGCCCCCACGACCCGGTGCTGCCCCCAAGAGGATCCTGCTCCTGCCTCCCCTGTCCCCCCCAGCTGGCCCTGGCCTCCCGCAGGGCCTCTCTGCACCCTCCTGGACCCGCTGGCCTTTCCCCTCTAAGGCGGCAGCCTGTGGACCAGGAGAGGCTCTGGATGCTGCTGCCCTGTGTCCCCCACCGATAGCCTCTGGCTGGCCTGGCCTCACGCCCTTCTCCCCGTCCTTCCTGCCCCTCTGGGCCCTCCACCTGGGACCTGCTGCCAAACAAGCCCAGCCCCCGGCCTCCTGTGCTGCCCTCCCCTCCCCGATGGCAGCCGCCCATCGCGGGGTGGCCCGAGGAACCCAGGATGTGCACCTGGCCCCGGCCCCACAGGACTGTGACTGTGGCTTGTCCTTGGCAGGAGTTGCTGGACCCAGTGACCCTCGTGTCCCCCAAGGGGGCCAACAGAAGGTGCCCCTGGCTCCAGGCAGGGACACAGATGCCCAGCTGGGCCTCCCCTGCACAAACCCCCAGGTGATAGGAGGACAGTGGCCTGCTGATGACCCCTCCCACAGGACCCACCGCCCACGCCTGAATCCCCCAAGTAGCAGGCCCCCTGCCTGGGCTCCGGAGGTCCCGTGGCCCCCACTCTGCCGCTGGCAACTGCTCCAGGCTGGGATCAGGCGGCGGCGGGGGTTTTCTTATTATTAAAAAAAAAGGGGCTGGGGTGTGGCTCAGCGGTGGCGCTCGCCTGGCACGTGTGTGGCCCGGGTTCCATCCTCAGCACCACATACCAACAGAGATGGTGTGTCCGCCGAGAACTAAAATAAATAAATAAATTCTCTCTCTCTCTCCCTCTCCCTCTCCTCTCTCTTTAAAAAAAAAAAAAAAAAAAAAAAAAGTCAAAACCGAGACGGCGACCCTGGGAAGGCAGGCCCGGTGGACCCAGCGCTGGCCCTGCAGGGCGGAGCCTGGCTCCGGCACAGGGGGCGTCCGCAGGCGGCAGGGCGGGCCTCCCGTCCACCCCCCAGCGGGGCTGCTGACAGAACACAGAAGACGGATGCAGAGTCACAAATACATATATACACATGCACACAGCCAGCGGCCACCGCGCAGAGAGCCTCCGCGCCCAGCCCGCGCGGCCTCCCTGGCTGTGCCAGGCCCAACCCCACCTGCCCAGGACCCAACAACAGGGGGACAAGGTGGCTGCTCTGGCCCAACCACACCCATCCTGCGGGCTCGGGGGCGATGAGAGCAGGGCACTGTGCCCGGGCCAGCAGGACGACGAGCAGGATCCGGCGTCGGGGGAGGCCCAGGGTGCTGCTGGTGGCCCGGGCGTCCCTGCTCCTGTCCTCTCCAGCCTCCCTGAGGCAGGCGGCCGGCGGCCGGGTGGGAAGGCCAGGAGGTGAGGTGCTGCAGATGACCGCGGCCGCCTGAGCCCTGGCCAGGCAGCCTCTGGGACCCCGCGCCCAGCAGGCACAGAAACATTCAAGTCTCGCAGGCGGAAAGACGCGGGCAGCAGGCGAGGACGGCGATGGCGGAGTGCAGCTGTCCCGAGGACGAGTCCACCCAGATGCTCTCCCGTGGACACAGGCCCGGCCGGCTCACGCCGGTGCTTGCCGACATCTCCGCTGAGGCCCTGCCGCGTGGTGGCACAGATGGCTGCAAAGACGCCCCAGTGGCTGCAGGCTTCTCGGGCCGGGCCGGGCCGAGCGGTGCAGTTCTGGCTGGACGCGTGGCCTCAGGCCTCCCTCCTGGCCAGCCCTGGCGTCCAGCTGGCAGGTCAGCACAGCAGGCAGTGGCAGCAGGCGGGCACGTGCTTCCAGGACAGCTGCGGCCCGGCGAGGCACAGATGCGGGCGGGTCCCAGAGGCGTCCATCCTGCTCGGAGCGCCGACGTCCGCACGGGGTCTCAGGGCTGCCGGGAGACTCCTGCCCTTCGGGAAGGGAGACGAAGCCCCCATCCTGAGGGTCCCTGGTCCCCGCCCCAAATACTGGTGGACATGGTTCACAATCAGGCGTTTAATTAGACTCTCCAGGGTGTCTCCAGGCCCAGCTCCCGCCCACCCGGCCGCTTCCTCCGGACTGTGTGCGGGGGACGGCAGGGTCCATGCAAACGGATGAGCAGGGGTCTCCGCCTGGACAGAGGTGTGGCATGCTCCTGCYGCTGGGTCTACCGGATCCGGGTGAAGAGGTTGAGCACCGACACGGACTCCTGCAGACACGGAGCCTGTGAGCCGCCGCCCGCTCGGACAGCCTGCGGGCCGGCCAGGCAGCCCCCACCCACCGTACCTTGGTTGAGCGGGTTTTGCTAAAGACATTCCAGAACCTCAGGGTTTCGTCTCCAGCACCAGTGACGATGGCCTCCCCATCAGGGGACATTGCCTGTGCAGAGGACAGAAACCCCTCCATGTCCTTGGGTCTTCGCAGGCAGCCCAGGGACAGAGTTGGGGGCACAAGGCTGGGAGCAGATATGGGCAGCCAGATGCCATCAGAGCCACAGGGGCAGAGCCCAGCCTTGGAGGCCAGAAGGAAGGGCAAGGGCCAGAGGCCGCGCAGGGCAGGAGCGGGGAAGAGCATCGAAACCAAAGGACGGGCAGCCGAGTGCCCAGGAGCAAGGGCACACACGTGCACAGGTGGACACGCCGCCTTAAGCACTAAACCTGGCGCAGGGCACTACGGGTGGACCTGGGCCTCRCACATGCTCAAGCAAGCGCTCTACCCACGAGCTACATCCCAGCCCAGCACAAAAACATTTTTTGCTGGAAAGAACTTGCAGAGGCCCGGAGCAATGGCCACGCCTGTCATCCCAGCTACTCGGGAGGCTGAGGCAGGAGGATCACAAGTTCGAGGTCAGCCTGGGCAACTTAGCGAGGCCCTGTCTCAAAATAAAATAAAAAGGCCCGGGCTGTAGCTCAGGGGTGGAGTGCTTGCCTAGCAGGTGCGAGGCCCTGGGTGCCAGCCCAGCGCGGCACAAACAGCGCGAGGGGGTCTGGGGAGCTGCCCTGCCCTCTGTGGCCAAAGGGCTCTGCTGTGAGACCCCAGTTACCCGACGCGGGCCGTCCCTGGCTGGCTTCTCAGGGGAAACAAAACCCGTAAAGGGGTGGAGGTGGCCGGGAGGGCCAGGTGGTGAGGCGGCTCAGCCAAGGACGTAGCAACCGTTCCCCCGTGACCTGCCACCAGAGCCAGCCTGGCCCCAGTCTCCTCCCATGGGTCCAGGAGAAGAGCCCGGAGAGGACGCACTCACCAGGTAGAGGACGCGGTAGGAGTGCCCCGTGAGCTTGGCCACCTGGGTCAGGGACGGGTACTTCCACACGAGGATCTGGTTCTGAGAGTAGCCGTGGGTGCTCACCTAGGGGAGGGCTGGGTTGGGCTCCAGGACGTGGTGGCTGCTCCTGCGCCCAGGGCTGAGGTGCCTGGAGGAGGACTGGCCTCCCGGTCGCCCCGGGGTGTGGGGGCCTCAGCAGTCAGTGGCAGGAGTCCCTCAGGACCCCCATCCCAGGGCGCTGCAGCCCCTGCCTCTGTGCCCACTGCAAACCCTCCTCCACCCATGGAAGGATGGACAGGCGTGGGTCAGTGTGCCCAGGGGACGCCAGGCTTCCTTCTCCACCCTCTCCCCACAGAGGCAGCCACGGGGCCTCCTGGCCAGCCGGCCTCTCTGACCAGTCACCCTGCTGGTCTGGCGGGGAGAGGCTCAGGCCCGGCCYGTGTCCCCGCCCCGCCCCGCCCTCCCGCCCGGTGGCCGCCCGCTCACCAGCTCGTTGGCGTGCTTGGACCAGGCCAGGTTGCACACCTGGGAGCCCGTGTCCACGCACTGCAGCGGCTGCCCCGTGAGCGTGTTCCAGAAGCGGATGCAGCGGTCAGCCGTGCCGCCTCCTGAGGCCAGCAGGCCGTGCTGGTGAGGGGACCAGGCGATGGCCTTCACGGCAGCCAGGTGCTCGGTGTACTGCTGCACAGGGCTCAGGCTCGAATGGTTCCAGACCAGCAGCTGGGGACAGTGGCTGTGTGAGCCCGGGGCACATGTCCCCAAGGCCAGCCCCTGAAAAGAGGTGGTACCTGCTCCCCAGGCCCTCCCTTGGGGGGCACCAGGGCACACCCCTGTCACCCTGCTCAAGCCAGATGGATTTCAGGAGCAGAGCCCGGCATCCTGTCCCAGTGTCCCCACAGAGCAGAGCGCGCAGCAGGTGGGCACCTAGGGCTGGGGAGTGGGCGCCGGTGCCTACCTTGTTGTCATTGCCCCCCGAGGCGAGGAGCTGGTGGTCCGTGGACCACTTGAGCCCGCACACCTCCTGCCGGTGGCCCGGTAGCCGCCGCTCTGACTGCAGGGGTGGGGAGCGGATGTCCCGCTGCAGGATCATTCGGTCCCGGCTCCCGGAGGACAGCTGGTCAGCGTTCCAGGCCAGGGCCCCTGGAGGTGGGCAAAAGGCAGAGTGGGCCTCAGCCTGGCCAGGAAGCCTGGCCCCAAGGGAGAGGGCGGAGGGCCCGGGCTCCTCACCGACACGCGCCGTGTGGCCCTCCAGCATGGACAGCTTCTTCCCCGCAGCGGCATCCCAGATCTGCACGAAGCCCTTGTGTGTGCCAACGGCCACCAGGTTCCCCTGGGAGCAACGGCAAGGGCAGAGGGCAGGGTCAGGCCCGGCCTGTGGACGGGAGCCAGCCTGGACCTGGTCGCCCAGTTCTCCTCTTTCCAGGGCCTGGGGTGGTGCCTCGGACTGCCCCTACTGTGAGTGACCTGCCGGAGGCTGGAAAGCCCCCAGAGCACCCAGGACTCGGGGTGTGACGATCGGCCCAACACGTGGGACACCTGCACTCCAACAGGGGAAATTCACAGAGAGCAGCACCTCCACGCTGAGCCCAGGCCACGGCGACGGGCGGCGTGGGGAGCAGCTGGCTGGGCCCGTGGACTCCCGGGAGGGGGAGGCACTGCTGGCAGCCTGCGGGGCACAGGGCGGCCCCTCRCGCACTGGGGGCTGCACACTGGAGCCAGCGGGGGCTGGGCAGGGCCCCGGCTTCCCCGAGACGTAAAAGCCCACACAGGCCACCTGCAYTGGGCCACGGACGGCTCCACAGGAGCGGGGACCAGCGCCCCCCGCCCTGCCCTCCCTTCCAGGGCAGGGGTGTGTGCGGCCAGGGGCAGGGCAGGGTCAGGAGCTGCTGCCACCTGCACAGGGCCCTGTGGGGAGACTCTGAGCGGGGTCCCAGGGCTGCGTGTGTCTCTGTCACTCTCCACCAGGAGCCGCCCAGGTCAGGTCAGGGATGCACCCAGGGCCACTAGAGGGTTCTCCAGAGAAAGACGGGTTCTGGACTCACCCGCTCAGACCAGCCCACGGAGGTCACGGAGTCCCCTTCCACAGAGAGGTCACAGAGCCGGGTCACCTGCAACAGGAGATGGGTGAGACCACATGTCCTCTGTGGCCAGGGTCTGGGAGCACCTAACCTGGAGTGGGGAGGACACAGGCCAGCACAGGCCCAAGGACAGCTGGGTGGGAGAGCGCAGAGCCGGGGCAAGGGGCCCCTGCTGCCAGGAGGCGGCCGTGGCCACAGGGTGAAGTCGTGGGTGGCGTGGGCCAAGGCAGGGCAGCTCCCCTGGGCAGAGCTCCTCCTCCGCCCTCTGCCCTGGGCTCGCCCCTGAGCAGTCCCGGCTGGTGGTGGCACCCACCCGGCCCTGCCCCAGGACTCCCCTGCTCAGAGCCGCCCGCGACCTGGGCCCACCTGGCTGGTGCAGGCGCTCCACAGGTACACGCAGGTCCCCAGCCCCACACTGAGCACGTTCAGGGACGACCAGTCCACCAGGTTCAAGTAGAAGTCGTCCTGCAGCTCAGGGGCATCCAGGACCTTGAAGGGGATCTTGGAGATCTTGCGGGTGGGCTTCCGCGGAGACCGGAGCAACTTCTGACTGGAGACAGCCGAGACGGCCATTTGGCATCAAGCAGCCTGCACCCTGCCCGGCACAGCTGCCGACCACGCCCGCCAGCCCCGGGCCTGCTGCTGGCCACGTCCACCCTGTGGCTGAGGCGGCCCTGGACGCCTGCAGCCAGGCCCCCAGGTYGCCCTCCCTGGCTCCCGGCTGTACCCAGTGCTGTGGGTCCCTGCTGGGCTCATGCCCCAGGAAGACAGGCCCTCTTGGGAAGCCTCTGGGGCCCCCAGGGACACCCCACCCAGAGACGGGGCTGACCTCTTGTTGCTGACAGGAGACAGGGAATACGGGGACACGTCGTTGCCGTCCTCGGGGCTGGCGCGCTTGGTGCTGAGGGAATACTAGGGGGGACACAGGTGCTTAAGAACCCGACCTGCACTCGGCACCCCAGCGGGCAGGCGTCCAGGCGTGCTCTGCGACCCTGGCGCAGCCCAGCTCTGGGCGGGGCAGCCTTGCCTCTGGGCACCTGGACTGCTTTCTGCAGAGGTGCCTGGCCGGGCCTGCCTGACGCTGCTGCCCGCAGTCTCCCACCAGAGGACAAACCGGGGGGCTCTGTGCAGCGCTTCTGCAGGAGGCCCTGGCCGCCTCTGCAGGCTGCTGGCCAGGCACCAGCCACAGGGTCCCCGCGGCCGTGCGTGCTCAGGAGGTGAACGGCAGGGTGTGGCTGGGGCACCCGCAGCCCGGCCTGGCCCCCAGGAGGGGCCCCACTGACCCAGGTATTTGGAACGAAGCTTGGGACYGGTGTGGGGAAGGAACCAGAGGCCTGGACACTGTGCAGCCCCCTGCAGCCCACCCGCTGGGTCCTCAGCCTGGATGCCACGGAGGACCCAGCACCTGGCCGGGTGGCCAGCGCAGCTCACCGTGAAGAGGCCCTTCTTCTCAGGCGTGGAGGGCTGCAGCCTGCGGTCCTCGGTCTGCGGGTCCTGCACCTTCTCGATGCCAGCTCCCAGCAGCTCGTTCTTCAGCAGGGCCGAGTAGGCCAGGCCGTCTGCGGGCAGCCGCACAGTGAGGCCAGGGCCGGCAGACGCGGGCGGGCGGGCGGAGGGGCGGGCGGGGCCCTACCTTTGCCGCTGTCTGAGGTGGCGTCCTTGGCTTTGCGGTTCTGGCTGGGAGACTTGTCGTTTTCCTGCGTGGGGAGGAGAGGGAGTGGCATGGGTCTGGCGTGTCCAGCCAGAGAAGGCGGGACAGCAGGCCGGGTGGACCCTGGCGGCCTCCCTCCCCCTGGGCCACTCACATTGATCCTGTGGAAGTTCACGCTCCAGTTGGCTCCGGCGCGCGAGGGGATGAAGCGGTCCCCGTGCTTGCTGGGGGAAGACACCGGGGAGCTGGCGGGCGTCAGGGTGCGTCGCATCTCCGAGACCTGGAGAGGCAGGCGGACACTGCTTCAGCCAGACCCAGGAGCCCCGGGCCAGCCTCTGCTGCCACGGGTCCTTTCACGAAGCCTCTCAGGCTGACACGGTGGAGCCTGCTGGTGGGCCCAGGTCCACCCGTTTCAGGCCGAGGGACAGGAGGGGAGAAGCGTCCCAGAGCAGGCCTCTGCCAGGTCCAGGGACGGACAGGGGCACTGGGGTAGTCTGGTCATACCCAGGCCACCTGCCAAGGGAGCGCAAGACCAGAGTGGCCAGCAGCCTCCGCAGCGGGAGCCTGGTGAAGAATGTGCTTGGGGCCCCACGGGTCCCCAGGCCCCTGAACCCACCCCATGGAGACCCCCTGCACAGACAGGGGGCAGGACTCACACACGGCATCGTGTTCTCGTTCTGGATGACAATCTGACGGAGCAGCCGCCGCTCATAGTCCTGATCCATGGTGGGGCAGGGCACGGCCTGCACGCCAAGGTCAGCCTGAAGCGGGAAGGGCTGGAGGTCAGTCAGGGCCAGCAGCCCCCGTGGGGGTCACTAGAGGAGTAGCCAAGTGTCCAGTGCCTGTGGAACTGGCTCCCACAATTTGGGGTCCGGGAGGCCTGAGCAACACTGAATGGGGACAGACTGGCTGCCCTCCGGCTGCTCGGCGGGAACCCCCACTGGCAAGGCCCCAGGCCCCCAGGCACCGCAGACCCCCCACCCACATGCTGCCCTGGGGCATGTCTGTGCCCTCGTCCTTGCCTGCTGGGGAAGGGCTCTCTGCTCTGGAGGCCCTGAGAGCTGGCAGGGTGCAGGTGGCCCAGCAAAGACCTGCCCTGAGCAGGGTGGCCTCTGTGACCTGCCACACGGCACGGGAGCCCCAGGCCTTGGCCTGCCGTGTGCGTGTGGCGTCAGTGAGCTCCATCTCACTGCAGACATTACCAAGGGGACAGCACATGGGGTCCAGGGCCAAGACGGACCCCAACCACACGGTACCCTACAGGGGGTCCTGTGTGCACAGCCAGCCCAGGGAGGCCTCTCTGAGGGGTGATGTGCAAGCTGAGGTCAGCAGTGCACCAGCAAGGAGCCCTCCAGGGAGGGAAGTAGGGTGTGGCCTAAGGCGGGTGAGGGGCAGCGCCTGTTTTTGTAAATAAAACTTTATTGGCACACAGCTGCACATATTGCTGGGAGCCTCCATGGTGCTTCTGTGCTCAGTGACGGACATGAGAGAGCAGGTGAGGGCAGAAGTGCTCAGTGTCTGGGTGAGAAGCCTCCTGCCCGACCTGGGCGCTGCCTCTGCACAGCAGCAGATCAGGCTCAGCGACGGCCGCTTCTCCCTGGTCTGCCCACTCTGCGCCCCAGGAGCCCCTGCCTCCTCCATCCTAGCACTGCTGCTTGGTCTCCTCGGCCTGGGGCCTGGGGCGGACAGCTGGGTATGCAGAAAGTCAAAAAGCAAAGCCCCGGGCTGGGGATGTGGCTCAAGCGGTAGCGCGCTTGCCTGGCATGCGTGCGGCCAGGGTTCGATCCTTAGCACCACATACCAACAAAGATGTTGTGTCCGCCAAAAACTGAAAAACAAATATTGAAATTCTCTCTCTCTCTTTAAAAAAAAAGGGGGGGGGGCTGGGGTGTGGCTCAGTGGTAGAGCACCTGCCTAGCATGTGTGAGGCATTGGGTTGGATCCCCAGCACCACATAAGAAAACTAAGTAAACAAAATAAAGTTATTGTGTCCATCTACAGCTAAAAAAAAAAAGCAAAGCCGCACTCAAGAGCCAAAAGCTCTAAAGCACAGATCCTAGCTGGCTCGGTGGCGCATATCTCGGGAGGCTGAGGCAGGAGGATCGTGAGTACAAAGCCAGCCTCAGCAACTTAGCGACCCCCACAAAAAAAAAATCCCCAAAAACAAAACCAAAAAATTCCTCCAGGAGCACCACAGTGACACCAACGCGTGGCTTTAACAACTGTGACAGACCTGAAATTCACCGTCCTGACCACTCCCGGCGCACACTCAGGTTGTGGCCAGCCATCACCACCGTCCACCTTCACAACGTCCTCCTCTTCCTAAACTGAAGCTGTCACGCTCAACGCGATGTGACCCAGTGACCGCCTAGACACACCCCGCGAGAAGGGAAATGCAGATCCAGGTGAAGACCGGCACCTGCAGCGTGGCCCACACCTCGGCTGGAGTGCCACCCAGCCATGGACAGAAAGCCCCACACATGCCGTGACCGGCACGGCACGGCTCTAAGGGCACCGTGCTCAGGGCAATGAGCCAGTGCCAAAAGGCCCAAGGCCAGGTGATGCCATCACAGGAGGTTCCCAGGGCCACCAGATCCACAGACAGGCAGGGGAGGAGGAAAACTCCTGAGGAACAGGCCACGCTGGCTCAGTGCTGCTGTGGGCACATACCCAGCTGCCTCGGCTGGTGTCTGAGGTGGAGGCGAGTCTGCACCCCCATTTCCCACGCCCTCCCCCACTGGCCTCTGACAGTGTGAATCCGGAGGCAAAGGAGCAGGGCACCCGCGCTCCTTGACGGACCCAGCAACCCCAAGGCAGAGCCCACAGCATGCAGACTGCAGCCCCCGCTCGACTGAGACCGGGTCCCATCTTGTACCCTCTGCAGGGTCTCCTAGCTGAGCCGCCCTCTTGTAGGTGAGACCACCAAGACCAAGCACGGGCACAGACTTGTGCTTGGCCCGTCACACCAAGAGCTGGGCTGGCTCCCGAGGCCTGAGCCCTGGGGTCCTCGTCCTGGTCGACATCAGTCTCCTGCTTGCTGGGAGGGGGGCTGCCAAGCTGCAGGGCCAGCCCCTCCCCCTCCAGCTAAGCCTCCTGCCCCATGACCACCGGGACGCGCTCCTGTGGCTCAATGCAATCCCGGCTTTCAGTGCACTGGACACACAGAGCAGCTGACAGCGGGTGGCGGCTCACCACCCTCCTGAGTCTCCCCACCGTGGGCAAGGCCTGCCACACCTGGATTCAGCCCTGGAGGATTCTGGACTTGTGGGAGCTGCTGCAGAACCACAGGCTGCCTCCTGTAGGCCCTAGCTCACCTGCACGGCAGGAGACGAAAGGCCAGAAGCCTCCAGAGAAGGAGCCGGGGCGTCTGCCGTGAGAGGCACCTTATCACGCAGCGTGACCAACACGGCTGGGTGTGGCTCGGGTGGAGGCCTGCCCAGTGTGCCAGGCCCTGGGTTCCACCCCCCGCCAAACCAGGAAAACTGTCCCCCTCAGAGGGGGGACCAAACTGGCAAAGGGCCTGAGCAAATCATTCTCAGAAAGACGCCTGTGCTCACCGCAGCCGCGAAGCCAAGGAGCGCCTGACCTGCAGCCGCAGAGGCGAAGGTGCCGGGGCCTGCGGGGCGCACAGCTGGCGGAGCTGAGCTTTAAGAGGGCGATCTGGTGCTCACAGGACGAGGCCACAGGGAGGCACTGTCCCTTCTAAGAACTCATCCTTGGAAACTCTGGCCGCTCGGAGCACAGGGGCAGCGCTTCGCAGGAGCCAGGCCACCGGCCTGCGGAGGGGGGAAGGACCTGGAGCAGAGGCTGGGCCTGGGGAGGGATGAGGCAGGTCAGGGGAAGGAAGTCCCAGCTAACCTGCCGCCACTTTTACTTCCTGAGTTTGGAGTCACAGGGCCGCGTCAGCTGTTCAGACCAACCCACCCCTCAGCCAGGCGGGCCAGGGTGCCAGGCTGTGCCTCGGGGCCTGCTCACTCAGGGCTGGAAGTTCACAGTGAAATGTCGGGGGAGAACCATCAGAACGAGCTGCCACCGAGAACGAGAGACCGCTGGGCTTGGACACCACGGCATCGAGGGACTCAGTACAGAGCCCAGCAGCATGAGGAATGGGCCTCCCACAGGCCTGCGGGGAGCCCCACGGGGCCAGCCCAGGGTGTGCCCCTGGGGAGGCTGCTGCCTGAGATCCCGCGTGGTGGGCCAGGACCCCTGGCTGCCAAGCCTCCCGTTGCCCGTCCCCTGCTGGTCAGGGCCACTGTGTCGCCCACCTGCTCACCAGAGTCCCCCAGAATAAAGACCAGGAGGCCTCTGCTCCACTGACACACGCGCCTTCTGTTTCCGCCCTCCCACCTGCTCCTCTGGGAGTACAACGTGAGCCAGTGACGCGCAGCCAGGGTCCACTCGGGGAGCCCTCAGCGAGGCTGTCCTGAGCCAGGGCTCCTGTGCCTGGTGGGGTGCTCTCCTGCTCACACCACGGGTCGACAGCCCCTGCGCTGCGCTTCCCAGGCCTGCCCTGCTGCTCGCCGCTGTGCCCACACTAGCCCGCCCTCCACAGCCGTGGTGCTCTAGGCTCCCCTCAGCAGGTATGCAGCAAAGGCAGCTCCCCTTCGCTGTACCCAGGAGTTCCTGCCCTGGCCACTGTGCCCCAGGGGATGCTGGGTGGTGCGGAGCGCCCCGGCATGGAGCAGGTGGAGGACAGGATGCTGCCCAGCACTCTGTAGTGCCCAGGAGACCCCACCCTGAGAACCAGACAGGTGTCCACAGGGCTGAGGACACCTTGCTCCAGGGCCAGGCCACAGCCAGATCTGCTTTTGAGACCACAGGGAGTGAGCAGGCTGGCGCTTAGGCCAGCAAGGACCAAGTGGCCTGAGGGCAGCCTGTGCCCTACTTATGTCCTTCTGCCCCCTGAAGCCAGTGTGGTCCCAGAGAGCTCTCTCCTGTATGAGAAGGGACAGGGCACCACATTTCAGTTCGGGAAGCTAGGCCACGCCCCTGCGTGGGCAGGAGCCAGGGCGCCATCTCCAGGCTCCACCTGAGGCTCCAGGGTCGGCTGGAGCAGTCAGGGCTGCTGCAGGGCTGGGCCTCCCCTGGCAGGGGCGGCACTGAGGACCTCTGCTGACCAGCAGGCATCTCCAGGAGCAGAGCAGTCTGGTCGCAGGGCCTGGGCCAAACTCTGACTCCTTCCAGTCCTGCTCATCTTGAAAAACTGGTCCCTACTCTTTTCACATTTTAAAGCTCTTGAGGAACAAAAGGAAAGGCCCGCTCCTGTAATGAGGGACCTCTGTCACCCGCATCAGCAGCTGACTGGGGCTGACTGGGGTCTGGCTGTGACTGCCTCTGACATGGTTAAGCCAGTGTCCCCAAAGCACTGCAGACACAGGGCCGGGCTGTTCTCTGGGGCGGGGCCCTGGGCAGGCAGGCCATGCGGAGGCGTCCCAGGCCTCCGCCACTCCAGGCCAGGGGCTCCCCTAGGAGTGACGAGCACACATGCCCCCAGACATCACCAGTGCCTCCTGGGGCCAGAATCATCCTGGATAAGGGTGCCTCTAGCCTTCAAGAGCAGCAGCCAACCAACAGGCACTTGCAGACTGGCACCTGCCAGCCCCAAGAGCCCCGGACCAGCCTCCTGGATGCCTGTGTGACCTGGGCCTGCCCCAGCCACCAACAGACGGCAGACTCTGCATGCTCTTTCTTAATTCTGTCCCCACGAGAGTCCCGCAGACAGGCCCAGTGCTACCCTGTGACTGGGTGGGGCTGGCAGCGG